CAGATGCAGTTTCTATAATTGATTGAAGATGCCTTTTAAGAGGTAAACCTTTTGATTTTTCATAGTGTTTGGTATTACAAAAGATATGTGTTCTGTAGAAGAAATATTGACTAAAGAACAGGGACAAGTTCACCTTATTTATTATGCAAACCTGTGTTTCATAAATATATGTCATTCTGGAACATAACTATTTTGAAACAAAAAAGTGTCAAAACACACACAGATTTCTGCTTAAACAGAAAAGATACCACATAATGGTGTACTCTTAATGAGGCATTTAAAGAAATTTATGCTGCTTGAAAAAAATCCATAGTGGTACAGGAAATGAAAGACCATTAAAACAACTAGAACTGGTGGAAGAAACAAATATATTAAGAAAGGCATTTTGTTTTCTTCTACATAAGAGATGGTCAGTTATGCTGTTTTAAAAGTATGTTACACATACATTTTTAGAACATAAAGGTGGCTGGTTGTGCAGAAAATAATGTGCAACCAGTAAGACTTCTACAATAGTTTTAAGCATACTTGCTTAGAAACAAGTCCCATTGAAATCAGTGGAGACTTTCTTTGATAAAAATATGTTCAAAATAAAAAAGAAAGATTGTGTGTGTGCTTCAAGAAGCTGGAGATTTGTTTAAAAAGCATATAACAGATTAACATGGCAGCACTAAAGAAATGCTGTATGTCAGTTAGTTCCCAATAGTATCTTTGGAGTAATATAAACATAACAAAAAGAACAACAGTATTTTAGAGCTTTTCAGTTAGTACAGTATCTGTATTACGGTGCAGTTTTGACAGTACACTGTGATTTGGTTGCTATGTCTTCAAAATGTTACTGCAGTTTGGTATTATAAATACATGAAACTGATTTCTGTACATCTCTATCACATTGATAAATCAACTGGTAATATTGTTTTACTTGACCAAAGTCTCTTTTCAGTACATTTGGAAGTAAAATATCAAACCATGCTTGCCTGTGAACTCAAGTGAGTTTCTCTACTTCATGGAGCTGATCCATCACTAGCTGAACTGCTAGCTTCAGATAGGTTGTGGTCCAGTCCTAAGCTAATAGCAGGTCCTAAATTGTGTTACTTTTTATTTTATTTTTTGAAGGTAGCCTGTGGTCTTAAAAACATCTCCATTGTAATCTGTAGTGGCATACTTTCTGTAAGCCCTCGAGACCTTTTATTGTGACATGCAAATCTAGAAGTAACTGTGTTCTTTAAAGGTTTGTTAAATTTACCAAGAATTTTACAGTTCAATATGAAGAAGCTCATAATAGGTTTAAGATGTTCAGTGTTGCAGTGGGTTTTTTTTTAATGAATGTTTGGTGTAAATAAGAGAACTGATTGTAAGTTTGAATAGCTGTTGTGTGAAATAAATCTTTCGTTAAATTAATTTCTTGGATACAGGTGATATGCATACATTGTTGAAAAACATAGATGAAAGCTAGTTAAATACAGCTGGATATTAGAAATATGTTCAGATAAGTACTTCTATTAAGGTATTTTTATGTGAAAATTATTTTCACAAATGAATTGCTGATCAATATGGCTGGCTGCTGTTAAGGTCAGACCATTAATTAAACTCTTCTACAAACCATTTACACAGCATTGTGTATATAAATTAAATTCTAGTTAAATTGTATAAAAAACAGTAAAGTTGTTTTTCCATTTTGCCTATACAAAACATCCTTCAGTTTTGCTTGAAGTATCCAAATGAGTTTATCAAGTGTTTTGCATAGTTGACATATTATCTATAAACACAAATCGCAAAGACACAAGAGCTCATGAGAATAACATTAGATCTAGTCTATAATTCTATTCCTTTAATCCCTAGCTAAATGCCTTTGGAAAGATAAACTAGTCACGAAGAAAATATTACTCAATTGTTTAGGTTTTCCTCGAGCTAGTGTCAAGAGGCATACTGATACAGAAACTAGTATAATAGCCATATATATCATTTTCTAACATGGATTTATCTGATCTCTCATTACAGCCATCTAGATTATAAGACAGTGTTGTTGAAATGAATTCTTAATTTGTCATGTTTTAGATGACCATGGTTATAAGTAGGATGCGAGAGTATCTTAACAGTTTTATAAAACTGCATAGAACCAAGAATGTAATATTCCTGTATAACTTTAGCAAAGATCTGCTATAGTATGCAGCATAGCATTCTTTTTAGTGTTAACATGGAGAGTAATAAAATCAGGTGGTTTATCTTTAAAGAGTCACATGAAATTCTACTTACCTGCCCAATATACTCATGTAAGAAATCTAAAAAATGTAAGAGCTTAGTCCATCCCTGGGTAGTCAAAATGAAGCATTGACTTCTCCGCTGTGGCACCACTTCTGTCTGTCTGTCTGTCTGTCTGTCTGTCTGTCTGTCTGTCTTTCTTTCTTTCTTTCTTTCATCTATCTTTCTTTCATCTATCTTTCTTTATCTATCTTTCTTTATCTATCTTTCTTTATCTATCTTTCTTTCTTTCTTTCTTTCTTTCTTTATCTATCTATCTATCTATCTATCTATCTATCTATCTATCTATGTCTGAGTGAGGAAATGATGACCAGGGGTGGCTGGCCTTCGGAGCCAGCATTGGTAATTCCGCCTCTGCACGAAATACCCTCGACTTATCCATAGATCATATTGTTATCCATAATTTTGGCCCTCAAACCCTATCATGAGGTCGACTTGTATGTGAGCATATACACTAAATATAGCAGAAGACACAGGGATTGGGTTATTAATGAAATGTAAGCATCCTTGTGAACTAACTTTGGAGCATTTTTAGTCGACAATGGTCATGATTTAAATTCTCTGGGAAGCAGAAGGCCTTTGGTAAGCTTTGGAATCATTGGTTTCAGTAAAGCCTAGGAGCAAGTTACATATTATGGTAGTCATGTGTAGTCCTGTCTCCCTCCAATTTTTGTTCATAGATTTTGGGACTAAAATCATTTGGGGCTTTTAGTTTTGAAGCTGCCAGGTGATAATGGGTTAGACAGCTCCCCACCTCAGTCTTCCGCTTCAGATTTCATCCTTCAGTAACTGTTTCATTAAGGAGAAAATATGGAACTCACAGAACAAGTGACTTACATTGTGTGGCCTTTATTTGTGATTAGGTTTTTAGATTGGATGAAGCTCTGTCTGGAGTTCTCAAAAAGCTGGAACATTTTGTCCTACCTACAGTCTAAATCCTTACCTTTTAAAGGGGGAAATATCATCACTTATCACTCCTAAAGATGTCTACATTTTTTATTTGGTACAGTTTACTTGGAAATCATTTCAGTGAATCAGAAGTATTATATATGTTAGTCTATGGCAGGGAGAGATAAACAAGAACTACTAAATACAATATTCAGACAATTCTGAAAGTAGTGTCTAAATAATTCATATACTTGTGTATGAGTCTAGAATTTTAGTTTAAAAATTGTTCCCAAAATCCCAGGTCAATTTATCCACACATCAATGTAAGTACTACATCTTAACTTTTATCAGATAATGAACTATCCCTTTCTTCAAGTAGAATGATGAATGGTAAGAATTTAGACCAGCCAGAACAAACCTATAAGAATAGCCAACCTTCTCCACCCTCTCCATATTGTGGTACTGCTTCCTGCCTTTTTGGGTGCCTGGGAGTAAAAATAGCAGTGGTCAGGGGCAAATGGTCCCCTGAAGTAGTGCTGGTGCTTCCCCTCTCTGTGGAATGACCCCCAACTTACCTATCGGACATATCAAAATCCATAATTTAGGTCCCAAACCTGCCCTAGAGTTATATTTATTTCCAGCATTTCTACCCCGTCCTCCTCAACCCCTGGGAGGTGGGACTCAGGATGGCTTACACTCGGCAACAATTCGATGCCGCAACATATAGACAAATTCAACAATATAACACCAATTTAAAACAATAGATAGTACAATTAAATTAAAAACAATTAAAAGCATTATTGTCAACCATATAACCATTCCAGTCCAATTCTACACCGAAAGTGCTGTTATGCATGCTGTCCAAAACCCTGGAGCCAGAACCATGATTTAAATTTCTTCCTGAAAGACAGAAGGGATGAAGCCGATCTAATCTCACTAGGAAGCGAGTTTCACAGGCAGGGGTCCATGGCCGAGAAGGCCTTGTCCCTTATCCTCACCAGACGCATTTGTGAAGCTGGCGGGAGTAAGAGCAGGGCCTCCCCGGACGATCTTAAACTGCAAGGCGGGATGTAGAGGGAGATATGTTCGGACAAGTAAGTTGACTTATACACGGCTATATATAGTAATCTTAATATATTTGGGCCCTGATTTGCCCATACAGGTAACTAGTTGCATTCATTTATCTATTTCATCAAAATAAACCACAGAGAATTATGCCCGATCATCTTGTGGTTGCTGCATTTTTAAAAAGTAACATTATTTTAAAAATTATTGAAATGTAGGCTGATGATACATTTTATGGAAAATAAAAGTATGTATTACTTCAAACAAAAAATATAACTTGCATGGGACAAACTAGGTTCAGTGAGCTCAGAGTTTTGGCAATATTGAATAAGATTGTGTTTGTAAGTAAAATCTGAGAAATCATTTATTTTGCATTGTTTAACTATTGATATGACTCTTTTGAAAATGTATTTAAGTATATTTAGCATTTATTTTATATGTCTTGTCTATGCAGGTTCTTAAAGGGGGGAAAACATTTCTACTTACAGATTAAAATGCAAACTTTTTGCTGTGCTGAAGCTGCTCCTCCAGAAATCATTGTAGGCAATAGTCTCAAATCATCAGTGCATTGTGAATTAAGTTTACATCAGTATATTTAGACTGTTGTCACAAAATAATTTTCGTATTAAATAATATTTTGAGTTGTGTGTACTAAAAATAAGAAATTAAGGTAGATTTCACAAAATGTTTACATACTGAAAATCAGCCAGCTTTATTTTTGTTTCCAAAATTAAAAAAATATTGACAGTGTTGTTTGAAATCATAATGCATGCTGAATTACGTTTCAGATGTTCCATTTAAACAGTCATCACCAGTAGCTGTAGCTGGGGCTGTAATAGGAGCAGTACTTGCTCTGTTTATCATTACCATCTTTGTGACAGTACTACTCACTCCTAGAAAGAAAAGGTCCTCTTACCTGGACAAAATGTAAGTTTCTTCTTAATCTTTAAATTGTTAGAAGGACTACGCTGGTATAGGTGTGTTTCTATTTTAAAAATTGGTTTTGAAATACATTATGCCTGCTAAAAACAGTACTATGGATGTTCAATCTAGATGTACAATTAAGCGGCAGAGTGAAGGAATAATGTTCAGATTTCCCTGTCTTTTGTATACTTAAATGAATTGATTGTGTTCCTCTGTGCATACAATCTACTGCACATAGAGCTCCAATTTACAAAGGACCTAATGAAAGACTTATTTATTTATTTATTTATTTATTATTTACTTTGCTTATATACCGCTGTATCTCAAGCCCGAAGGCGACTCACAGCGGTTCACAAACAGTAAAAACAGTAGAAACAGCAGTGGTTCCATACAACATATAACAATTGACTTAACACATTATCCATAAATTAACAATAAGCAATTACAATGCACAATTATTACAAAAAACAACCGTACCCAATCTTCTCATCATCCAAGCGTAGTCCAGGTTCGTCGTCCATTGTTCCATTCCTATGTTCCATTACCAGATTGCACTAAATTACTCAAACGCCTGCACAAGCATCCAGGTCTTCACCTTTTTGCGGAATACCATTAGAGATGGTGCTAGTCTAATGTCCGTAGGAAGGGCGTTCCACAGCCGAGGAGCCACCACCGAGAAGGCCCTATCTCTCGTCCCCGCCAGCCGAGCTTGAGAAGCAGGCGGGATCGAGAGCAGGGTCTCCCCGGAAGATCTCAAACTCCTGGTGGGTTCATAGGCAGAGATGCGGTCAGATAGGTAGCTTGGGCCGGAACCGTTTAGGGCTTTAAAGGCCAACGCCAGCACTTTGAATTCAGCCCGGTAGCAGATCGGTAGCCAGTGGAGTTGGCGCAACAGGGGGGTTGTATGCTCCCTGCGCTCCGCTCCTGTTAAAATCATGGCTGCCGAGCGTTGGACTAGTTGGAGCTTCCGAGCTGTCTTCAAAGGCAACCCCACGTAGAGCGCGTTGCAGTAGTCTAAACGGGATGTAACCAGAGCGTGGACTACCGTGGCCAAGTCAGACTTCCCAAGGTACGGGCGCAGCTGGCGCACAAGCTTTAGCTGTGCAAATGCTCCCCTGGTCACCGCCGAAACCTGGGGTTCCAGGCTCAGCGATGAGTCCAGGGTCACACCCAAGCTGCGAACCTGCGTCTTCAGGGGGAGTGTGGCCCCATCCAACACAGGCTGTAACCCTATGCCCTGTTCGGCCTTGCGACTGACCAGGAGTACCTCTGTCTTGTCTGGATTCAATTTCAATTTGTTCGCCCTCATCCAGACCGTCACAGCGGCCAAGCATCGGTTCAGGACCTGGACAGCCTCCTTAGTAGCAGGTGGAAAGGAGTGACAGAGTTGGACATCATCCGCGTACAGATGACACCATACCCCGAAACTCCGGATGATCTCCTGACAAGTTATCTCCAAAGACCTATTCTATAGCATCAAGCCATGACAGTTAAAGTGGTGACAACAGCACTTGTCCCAGGAACCCCCAGTGGTGCAATGGGTTAAACCCTTGTGCCAGTAGGACTGGTGACTGACAGGTCAGCAGTTCGAATCCAGGGAGAGCAGATTGAGCTCCCTATGTCAGCTCTAGCTCCCCATGTGGGGACATGAGAGAAGCCTCCCACAAGGATGGTAAAACATCAAACATCCGGGTATCCCCTGGGCAACATCCTTGCAGATGGCCAGTTCTCTCACACCAGAAGTGACTTGCAGTTTCTCAAGTCGCTCCTGACACAAAGAGAAAAAGAAACTTGTCCCTGCTACATAAAGTTCTTGCTATATGTAGAGTTCTTACAAGATGCCTAAATAAACTGGAGTAATTATTTAATGAAGTTAATTTTATATCCTGACTTCCTACATTTGGGGGGGGGGGAATAAACTGGTAGCTTCATTTCTAATGTGAAGGATGGAAGAAAATGAAAATTCTGCTTGTTTGACACTCATGGCTTTTCACAGCCTCCTTTTTAACATTTCACACTTGTACAGGCTATGTTGTTTGGACAGTTATTGTCACAAGTGTGGAATACTTTTGTAATGCCTTGACTATAAAATTGCTTGGTTTGTTATATGCTAGAGAAAGTGTTAACATTTACATGTCCATAGCTCTTAGCAGTCAAAACTTTACTTAGTAGTTTTGTTAATGAGGTGTATCCTATATAGTGTATGTTCTTCCAATGCAGGATTGATCTTCCACCAACACAGAAGCCACCATCTTCGTATGAGGAAAGAGCTCGTTCCCTGTCACAGAAAGAAATAATTCTGCCAGTAAGTAATACCCTCAGCAATATGTCCCTAAATGCACTTTATCACCGATTTAGGATTGTCTGCGTGCCCCATCTCTACCTGAAAACTCTATCCCAGTTATATCCTACCTTGTCCATGTCCAGCATTATTTTTTAATTTTTAAATTATTGCATTTGGCCCAGCCACAGGTTTTAAATGCTTGTTGTTATTGTTACTGTTTATTGTTTACTTTTGTTTATGAGATTTATTTTAACTATTGTATTGATTGTTTTCTTATTGCTTTTACTGTTGATGTACTTTGGGCTCGGCTTCATGTAAGCCTCACCGAGTCCCTTGGGGAGATGGTAGCGTGGTATAAATAAAGTTTTGTTGTTGTTGTTGTTGTTGTTGTTGTTATATTGATGCCAATGAAAGGATACATGCCTATATAATATCATGTAATACAATTGCATGTTGTCTTCATACTTCATCATAATTGGGTTATATTGAGCAATTAACTAATCAGTCCAGTCATTCAGTCAGTCATATGACTGACCAGGAGGGAGAGCATATAGCCAATCAAAGAATTAGTCTTTGTAACAGGGTAGAAATTTTGGAGCTCTCAAGGTGATGTTGTACTTGCTGTCATAGATAATGATACAAGAGCTATCATACTTGTTATCTATAGATGTAATTAAACTTTTTCTGTAGTAGAAGATGGGTTGCCCCCTGCTTCTCACTTGCTGCAACAGGCTGGAAAGCGAGCAGTGAAGTTCAAGCTGTTCCTTTTAGAAGGAGAGCAACTGCTGAAATTCTAGATTGTTTTTCTGCCTGCTATCCAAACAGGTGATTTCTCAGATTCCAATGTCTGTCTTTATTAGCATTGCAGTTGAGTTTTATTTTTATTTTTTTTGAAATAATTTTTTATTAATTTATCACCATTACTACATTTGTTATACATTTGTTATTGCTGTTACATATTGTTCAACCATTCTTTAACATTTTGTTTTCTTATTTTGCTTAAACATTTTTCCCCCATTTATTCCCCCACCACTGTGCTCCCCTCCCCCCGTCTCATCCCCAATTTTTACATATTATCTGTCCAAAATCTCCTTTCTTCTTGTGACGGTAACTTCCCTTCCTTATTTTTTAAACCATGTACAACAAATTTTCCCCATACAGCATCAAAGTCGCTTTGTTTCCAAGTACCTTTTTTAACCCTTAATATACATGTCAACTTATCATTTATTGCTAATTTCCATGCTTCCTTATACCACTCCTCTATTTGTATATTCATTTCTTTTTTCCAATTCCTTGCTATGAGCAGTCTTGCTATTGTTAATAAATTTGTTATCGCTTCTTTATCCTCCTTTTTCAATTGCTTATTATTATATATTGATAGTAAGGCTATACTAGGACTTTTATCAATTTTCATATTCATTATATCTTCTATTTCTCTAAACACTTTCTCCCAAAAATTATTTACATATTTACATTGCCACCACATATGTATATATGTTCCTGGTTCATTACACCCTCTCCAACAATTTTTTGATTTATCTTTATTCATATATGCTATTCTTACTGGTGTCAAATACCACTTCCATACTAACTTGTAATAATTTTCTTTAACCCTTATTGATAAGTTTTTTAAATGTCTTTGTCCCCATAATTGTTGCCACTCTTTTTCACTTATTTTAATCCCTAAGTCTTCTTCCCAGACCTCCTTGAGGATGTTGTTTTTTGTTTTTCCCTCCTTCATTTCAATTAGTATCTTATAAATTTTACTGATTGTTCCTCTCAGGTTTTCATGCTCTTCTACATCCCTTCCCTTTTGTATTATTTGTTCAAATTGGTTAAGTTGGCTTCCTTTTCTATTATTTTTTCCCCAATTTTTAAGCCACTGTTCTAATTGCATGCAATGGAACCATGTCAATTTTATTTCTTTAAACTCTTCCATCATCATTTCCTTCTTCATTCCCACCTTTATCCAATCCCCTATCCTATCTAAAAAAAATTTCCCTTACCTTTTTATCCATTACTTTTTTTAAAAAATTTGGAAACTTCTTTTCCATCACTACTGGGGTAATGATTGACCCCTCCATTATTAACTTCCTCCTGTATTTGTTCCATACTTCTAATATATTGCTCAACATTGGGTTTCTAATTTCCCTAATTTCTTTCCTCGTAAGCTGTTTAAAAAATATATTCCAAGTTTCTTCTTCCACTTTTTCTGAATCCTTACTAAGCCACTCTATTCCCTCTTTTTTAACCATTCCTTCTATGACCTGGCTTAATCTACTTGCTTCATAATATTTTTTTATATTTGGCAGCGCTAGTCCCCCCTCTTTTTGCGATCTATACCATAACTGTTTATTTAATCTATTTCTTTTACTACCATTGCAAAACTTATTAATCATTTGTTGCCATCTAGTTAACTCTTCTTCTGTAATTTGAAGTGGTAGCATCCTAAATATAAAATTTATCTTTGGGAGTATTTTCATTTTTACTAATGCTATTCTTCCAAACCAGGATAGACGTATATCTTCATACTCTGTTAATTTTTCCTGAACCTCTTTCCTTAATGTTACTACATTTACCTCTTCCATTTCTTTCAAATCCTTTGTTATTATTACTCCCAAGTATTTTAATTTATTCTTAATTCTTATTCCCATTTTACTCTGTTCTATAAACTCTTTTTCTTCTTTCTTTGTGTAATTGAGTAGCATCATTTCTGACTTATTCCAATTAACTTGCAAGTCTGTTGTTTTTCTAAATGTCTCCAGATGTTCTTTTATTTTATCCATTTTTGCTACTATGTTTCTTATAAATAACAAGGTATCGTCTACAAATAAACTCATCTTCTGTTTCTCCTTTTTTCCTAGCCCTACTAGATTTGTCATTCCTTATGTTATTAGCAAACAGTTCTATCACCATGGCAAATAATATCGGGGACAAAGGGCACCCTTGTCTAGTTTCTCTAGTCACTTTTATTTCATTTGTCACTCCATCATTTATAGTTACCACTGCCGAGTTCCTTGAATAAAATTGTTTTAATACTCCTTTTATTCTGTTTCCCATTCTGAATTTATCCAAAATTTCCCTTAATGTCTCCCATTCCACACAATCAAACGCTTTGAAGATATCTAATGATAATATCCCTACTTTTTCCTTCCCTTCTTTAGCCAAGTAAATTTTATTTATTACTCTCCCTATCAAGTTTGACATTTGTCTTCCTTTTACAAACCCACATTGATCATTTTTTATATACTTATACATGCATTTATTCATTCTATTCGCTATTATCGCAGATAAAATCTTTGCGTCCTGATTGACCAGCGATATAGGCCTATATAACCCCGGGTCTGTTAAATCTTTGTCAGGTTTGGGTATTAATATTATTAATGATCTCCTCCAAGATTCTGGTATTTTATCTCCCTTCATTATTCCATTATACAATTCTATTAATTTTGGAATTAAGACTTCTCTAAAGCTTTTATAATATTCTGTCCCTAAGCCATCCAAACCCGGAGCTTTCCCAACTTTTAAATTCTTAATGACTTCCTCTATTTCTATCTTTTTAATAGGTTCTTCCAGAAACTCTTTATCTTTCTCCTCCAACTTACTCTCCCAATTTTCCTCCACATATTTCCTAATTGCTTCTATGGAACTAACTTTAGTTAGGTATAATTCTTTATAAAATTCCTCAAATACCTTCAGTTTTTCTTTCATAGTTCTACATAATTTACCTGTTTTATCTTTTATCATATTTATCATTCCTTCCATTTTCTTTTTTTGTGTGGATTTGGCTAGCATCTTTGAATTCCTATCGCTAAACTCAAAATATTCCCTCCTTAAATAAATTAAATTTTCTTGTACTTCATCTATTTCTATTTTATCTAGTTCCTCTTTTTTTGCTCACAACCTTGCGTAGATTCGTGTGTCTCTTTATTACGTATGCTTTTTCAATCTCTTCTATTTCTTTTTCTAAGTTCCTTTTCCTTTCTTCTTGCCTTTTTTTAAAATTAATTGTTTCTTTTATACATAACCCTCTAGTCACTGCTTTCATAGTATCCCATAGAACTCCTTTTGTTACCCCTTTTTCATTAAAGCCCCATGTTTCTTGCCATTCTGCTTGCACTCTATCTACCATCTCTTTATGATTCAATATTTTTGTATTTAACCTCCACCTCTTCGTTTTGTCATAATCACATTTCAACACAATCTCGATACCAGAGCATGATCTGAAATCTTAATTGTTCCAATGTCAGCATTTAACACTTTACTTAGCATATTTTTGGAGACAAAAATATAATCTATTCTTGTATACACCTTATGCATAATATGTATATCTATTTTCATTCCCTTTTACCAATCTCCACACATCCTTTAGTTGCCATTTATTCATTACTCTACTTAAATCCGTTGATTCAGTATTTCTAGTTTTTGTTGCTGACATAGTTTTATCCTTCTTTGGGTCCATATAACAATTCCAATCTTTTCCGAATATTACATTTTGTTGATGATAATTCTCTATTTGCTCTAACACTTTTTCATAAAATTCTTGCTGTTTTACATTTGGTGCGTATACATTTACTAGTACATATTTATCTTCCCCTATTTCACCATATATTATTATATATCTTCCCTCCTCATCTTTCAATACCTTATTTATAACAAAATTACATTTTTTTTGTGATTATTATAGCTACCCCTTTTGATTTTGATGACCCAAAAGATTTTTCATAGTTCTTTATCCAACTCGACTTTAATTCATTAGAGCCCGGTTTATTCTGATGCATTTCCTGTAGGAAGATAACGTCCGCCGCGTCCTTCTTCAGTAAGGCTTCAATCCGCCTTCTTTTAATTACCGTCCCCAAACCTCTCGTGTTAAGTGTTGAAATTCTTAATTTATGGGACATCATTTCCATCCCCCTTAAAAAAACTTTTTTGTGGCTTGAAACAACGTGAACCCTTGCCCCTCACCCTCTCCTACCCTTCCCCACCCTACCCCCCTACCTCTTACTCCCCCCTCCTCATTCCCACCTTCCTCCCCTTCCATTCTTTGGGACTTCTCGTCCCAATCATGGCCCCCGGCCTTCCCAATTGGGGAGGGGGGGTGAAGTCATCCCGTGGCCCAGAGTCTCCCTCCCCCCGAGTGCTCATTTTAAATCAAATAAAAAAACTTGATTGCAGTGTTTAATTTCTTCTTACATCTCGATTCCTCCAACGGCACCAATTAATTCCTCCAGTTCTCCTCCATCTTTTTTTCTCCTCCATCTTCTCCTCCTCTTCCTTCCGATCTCTTTCTTGTCTTCTTACTATTCCAAGCTCCTCCAGTAGTTGATAACCTTGTTCCAATGAGTCTATTCTGTATCTCTTGCCTTTCCATTGGAATTTGAGAAAGATAGGGTATCCCCACGTATACAAAATTCCAGCCTTCATTAACTGGATCGTGATAGGCTTCATTGAATATCTCCAATTCTTGGTTTCTGGACAATAGTCGTTAAATATCTCCAATTTTAAATCACCCATCTTTAGGTAATCAGGATTCTTCTTTAGTATTTTCATCAGGTCTTCCTTCTTTGCAAAATTATGAAATTGAATTATTATATTCCTGGGTGTTATTTTATTTCTTCCAGCCGGAAGGCGATGGACTCTCTCTATATCCAATTCTGACCAGTTCAATGCCGGCGTAATCTTTTGCAACCACTTCAAGATTTTGGCTTTCAGATCTTCTTTTGTATTCCCTTCCGGATAATTTTTAATTATTGCGTTATTCCTTCTTTGATTGTCTTGCATATAGACAAACTTTCTTTCCATATCTGAGAGCCTGTTTTCATTTTGTTGTGTTTGCCATTTGAGTACAAGTTGTTCCTGTTTATTTTTTTCAATTTCTGCTTTATTTATTTGTATTTCTCCATGTGCTGTTTTCAAAGCTTCTTTTATTGTCTGAAACTTTTCATCTGAGCTTTTCCTTTCTGCTTCCAATTGTGCTTTCATTTCTTTAGTACTGGTCAGAATTTCTTGCTTTAATGACTGGGTCTCGCTTTTGATCAAATCTGCTATTTTACTTAACATTTGACTACTGCTCATTTCTTTCCCCGGTTTCCCTGGTTCTTCCCTCTCACTACTTTCTTCTGGTTCTGCTGTTAAACATGGCAATGACGTAGAGGTACTTCCACCCCCTATTTGGGGGGGGGGTCCTTCTTAGCTGTTTACCCCCCTTCATTGAGGGGGGGGGACTTCTTCTAACTGCACTCATTTCCTTAGTGTCTGTCTTTATTAGCATTGCAGTTGAGTTTTAAAAATTTGCTATAGAAGTTGGCAGTATCAGTGTAACGTGATAACACATAGATAACACATGGAAGAGTGGTGATAGAGGCAGTCCCACAGATAGGTAGGTAGGTAGGTAGGTAGGTAGATCTCTGAATGCATAGGGAAGGGTTAACATCCCTGTGGTGTTTGTTTTGCTGTTTGTGCCCCTGTTCAGAAGATTTCACCTCACTTTCTGTCCCTGTGATATTTGGATTTAGAAAAAAATGGCTTGTGGCTTGTTGTGGAAACAAGGATTAGTGATAAAGCTTCAGTTGAGACACCTTTTCCCCATGATAACTCCTACAGGAGTGAATTTCCCTTCCTAGGGGCAGATTTATCTCACTTTCTGATGTGTCACCTCCATTCTTAGCTATGAGTAGTTTGTAAGTTGGATGTTTGCAACTTGGGGACTGCCTATAGAGTTCATTTCAATATTCAGATGGATAGATGAAATCACCCAGCTTTGGGCTTATTTCTCATTGTCAACACAACTATTTATTCAAATAATCATTGCACTCTGACTAGGGAAATTTATGAAAACTGTGTACAAAGGCTAAAGGCAGCCATTTCCAGGTTGAACAAATCACACGTATTTACTTATAATATCATGTGTTGCCCATATTGCAAGATACCTAGACAGCATAGAGTAAAAAAAATGGTTGAACAATTTAAAGTACATAAAATGTATATATGGTACCTAAGGAAATAACAATTTTTCTGTTTTCCATTATTGTATTTGTGAGCCCTTAAATACTAGAATAAAAATACATTTTTAAGAAAGCTAAGCAAACAAAAACCTTTTGCATCTAGAATGATTTTTCTTGTAAAAAGATATTCAGTGCAGCCCAGCAAACCAGTCCACACTGCCTTAAACCACTGCAGTCCCATGGAAATAATAGGAATATGTTACATTTGAAAATAACTTGTTTGTGGATTAGACTGCTTAGCTAAAAATTCTAGACATGATCTAATAGTAGTCTAGGCAGCTCCCTGGCATACCCCATTCAGAAGTAATCATGCAGCACCATAGAAGTGGTAATATTTATTCAGCACATTTTGAATTACAGTTGGGTTGATCTGATAGTTTTGTGAAGGGAAATAGAATAAATCCAGAATGTGCTTAATGATGCAAAATAGGAGACACAAATCTATGAAAGAGTTAAAATAATATGAATAACAATAGTACAATATACGGAGATTGACAGTTTTCACATATGTGTGGAATAAACTGAAATTATTTTATTAATACATTTCATGAATTGGTCTATCCAAAAATGTCAGTTAAATAGCATAACACTATTACAAGTTGAACTCTACAGTTTGATGCAAGGTAGCTTTTTCTTTTTTCAAGGCATGGGCTGTGATCTTAAATATCTTGGAGTATGTAGCAGTCTGGGCCTATATATGCTAAAAGGCACTATCTGGTTATGGAAGCTAAGTAGAAGCAGCCCCTGTTAGTTCTTTGATTGGAGATCATCGGTGAATACCTGGTGCTATAGGTTATATTCCAGATTGAAGAAACAGTTGCAACTACCTCTGAGTATTCCTTGCCTCAGAAAATCCTATGAAATAAATGATGTTGCAATAAGTCAACAAGCAACATCGACTAAAAATAGTTGAAGTTTTTCCTTTCCTAAAACAACACTTATCTGTGCAGAACTACAGAGAAAATCAGTGCCGAGACAAGGAAGCTGGAAACCTGCCACACAAAGTAAGTATTATAATTTTATTCTGTTTAAATTTGAAAACAGCTACTCTGAGGTTGGATCTTATGCTGCCTTAGTTGTCATTTGAATGGGCCAAACAGATCAGCTTTGAAGAATTGTTGCATATATTTAAACATGCTGTATTAATACATTATTTTAATTTAATCTTTTTCTGTATATATTTGTGTTGCTCTCTTTTCTTTCTTTCCTGACAAAGAACAGGGTCCAAAAGGGCAAACAAAATGTTACAAATAAAGCTTTATAACAACCTTGATGGCTCTTTCACCCAAAAGGTTTTCAGGCAAAAAGGATGTAAGGATAAAGTGAATAGAAGGAATTTCTCCAACTTTCAGATCGATTCTTAAAAATAACATGTTAGCAGCATTCCACTATTTATATTATCTGCCTTTTTGCGAGTGTGGGACCCAGGGTAGCTCATAACATATATTAAAACACAGGACAGCTAAAAACCAGTGTAGGTCAAACCTCCCTTATCTGGAAATCTGAAACCCAGCAATATCCAAACTTTTTGCTACAAGTCATCAACTTCCATCTTAGAGATGGCAGCAGTGATGCATCCTCCCCAGCTTCTTTCTCTAACCAGTCTTGGAAAAACGGTACCTGAACTGAATAGGAAATCTCCATGGAGTAACAAACATTCACAAGACAAAAGTTGGTAACTGACAGGCTCCGTGAAGATCTCCTGTACAGTTCAGGTACAAGGATGGTTAGAGAAAAGCTGGGGAGATATGGATTTCAGAAACATATAAAATGTGACAATGAGAGGATAAAAAGTATAACACCATTCTGAAGCAACCACTAAAATCCAAAAGCCTGTTTAAAGAAACATATATTTGCCTGCCAGTGAAAAGAAAAGAGAAAGAGAGGGAACCTAGCTTCTTATGGTAGGAAATTCCAGAACGTGGAACTGTGCACTTCACCTTGTCCATCAAAAATGTCCCCTCCTGTGTCTTCACCAAATGTCCCTGTGGTGGTGGGCAAACTAAGAGAAGGCCTTTCCCCAAAGGACATAAAATGTAAACAGGCTCATGTGGAGGAGAGATAGTCTGTTGTAAGTTGGATTCAGTGTGTATAAGGCTTTACAGGTCATATCCAGAACTTATGCCAAAAATTGTCTATTTCATTTGGTATGGAAAATTGTGTGGAAGAATAAATGCAGGTTTTCATTTCTTTAATGGTAGTGAGATATAACAAGTGCCAAAATGCTGTCTTACTATATAATTCTTATTTTTGCTGTATTGAAATAAGTTATTAGTGGTGTAAATGAAAAGTTGACAAATATATTCATGGAATATAGCATATGTTATATTGCAGTTGAGTCATTTTTCTGTAATTATAAATAAAAAACATTTGTGGTTTAGTAGTTTTTATATACTTTTAAAGAAATAAAAGTAATGTATAAAGAATCTAAATAGGTGACTGGTATCATGCAAACATGTATATATATATATTTTTAAGATGGTAAACTGCAGGCAATTCCGCTATGAAGATGAAAATCACCTGCCTCAAGACAGCCATCAGAAAATGTACCCCGTTTTCAAACAAACAAATTGCAAAGACTGGAGCAACAGGGATTATCCAAATCCAGGCAACGGAAAAGTATTTATAAATCCTAGGGAACATTATGTGTGATTTGACTTCTCACATATGAATTGAGGAATTCTCAGCTGGGAATGGAAGAATTCTCACTTGTGAATTGAGGAAAATAATATCAATGTCAAAACACTGTTTTATACGACATGGATTTCAAGTTAATGCATGCCATAGGTTCAGTGAGTACTCTGCTTTATTTGTGAATGAAGAGGAAGATAAAATAGTAGGAAAACCCAAATGCTTGGAGATTATTGGTTCTTGATAGATAGATACTGTTACAATTTGCTGTTTTAAGTGCATTAGTCACAATAGTCTATGTACTTTAAGATTATTCCTCTGTAGGTAAAATATGTATCTAATGATGAATTTAGATGACTTGTCTTGCTGGTCCTCTAAATTCTTTCTTCCTGAAACAAATATACCTAATGAGTTTGCATGATCTCCTTTTGTCTACATAGTTTATGTCACTTTCCACAGCTCCTTATTAAAGTAATTTGGCTGCTCCTTATTGGTCTATGGAAAGTTGCAACAGGATGACATTACATGAAGTTGTTCTTTATGATATGAGAAGATGGGAATTTGTACTTCTGTTTTGGGGAGCAGCCATACATACTCCTAAGGACTAGCTTCCTTCCCAGAACAATGCTGGCACTTTTATTGTTCCTTGCAAAATGCTTTCTTGCGCTGCTGGTACCATAAATGTCCTACATACCATTTGCTGACATTGGCCAATAAATACTATCCTGTCATTGGTTCAAAAATGTAATGATATTGCTCATATCAACAGAATAGAACTTTAAGAATTCACGTCCTTATTGTTTCTTTTTTCACTTGAATGAAATTATCTTAATATTTTGCTTAAAATTTCATGCCAAAAAGAAACAATTAAAATGTTGAAAATGGAAGAAGTAGCTTGCTGTAAAGAAATAGAAATAAATGTAATACAATAGCAATAATTGTATGTTGTTTCTGTTTTATAGCTAGTTCTATACATTATGTTTAATATACAGCTAGGTTAGTATAGAGTTTTTCCTGCATTTGTAATGCAATTTGTTTTCTATTAATCCTTTGGTCCAATTATATGTAATCATATAAAGCGTTCCCATATTAAGCCTTCGCAAATGCATTGACCAATTATTTTGCTAGTTTGCTTTTTGAATACAACTTGTAGGGAAACGTCACCTTTTTTTTTTTTGTGAGAACACAGAGAAGCAAGTCCTTTTATTATGCTTCCAGTAACGGGAAAACGAGAAATGTTAGTTCTGCAAGTCATTCCATTATTTTTTCTTATTATGGCAGAAATACAAATATGTATTTGAACAAAATTTTGAGTACAATACAACCCTCCCCTCCCCACTATACCATTATTCACAGTTTCTCCTACTCATATCCTACAAAATACATCCTCTAGGTCTTCCAAGTGATTTTATGGTATGTTTCTGCTGGAAGTTACCATGAAATCATAGAATTGGAAGAGACCTCATGGGCCATCCAGTCCAACCTTCTACCATTCAAAGAACCGCTGACAGATGCCCATCCAGCCTCTACTTAAAAGTCTCCAAAGAAGGAGCCTCCACCACTCCCCAGAGCAGAGAGTTCCACTGCTGAACAGGTCTCACAATCAGGAAGTTCAGGTGGAATCTCCTTCCTTGTAGTTTGAAGCCATTGTTCCGCATCCTGATCTCCAGGGCAACAAAAAACAAGGTTGCTCCCTCCTCCCTATGACTTCCCCTCACATATTTATACATGACTATCATGTCTCCTCTCAGGGCTCTTCCGCACAGCCCTATATCCCAGAATATCAAGGCAGTAAATCCCACAATATCTGCTTTGAACTGGGTTATCTGTGTCCACACTGTCGTATATTCCAGTTCAAAACTTGCTGTAACAGATAATATGGGATTTTTTTCAGCTGTGTGGAAGGGCCTCGGTCTTCTCTTCTGAAGGCTAAACATGCCTAGCTCTTTAAGCCACTCCTCATAGGGCTTGTTCTCCAGAGCCTTGATCATTTTAGTCGCCCTCCGGACACATTCCAGCTTGTCAACAGCTCTCATCAACAGTGGTACCCAGAATTGGACACAGTACTCCAGATGTGGTCTGACCAAGGCAAAATAGAGTAGCATGACTACCCTGGATCTAAACAGTATCCTCCTATTTATGCAGGCCAAAATCCCATTGTCTTTTTTGCCGCCACATGGCATTGTTGGCAAATGTTTCACTTGTTGTCCTCGAGGACTTCAAGATCTTTTTCACACGTACTGCTGTCGAGCCAAGCGTACATATTAGAGGAGCTAGGAAATCATATTAGAGGAGCTAGAAAATTCCTAAAGAGCAAACCATCCCAGGAGTTTTCTAGGAATTCCAGTTTGACTCTGCAATTCTGAGTAGAAGTAGTTCACTTGAATAGAGTTGACTGTTATCTACAGCTTCCTGTTTCTATAGTAAGTTCAGGAATATATGCCTGCACATGGCAGTGGTCATGCTATATAATACTATCCAAATTAAATACTAATAACTTTTATGTAAGTGGACATAGTTTTGACATTTAAGTGAGAAGCTCCCAAAAACTGATGATAGATGTAGAGCAATGACAGAATGGAGAAGGGAATATAAAATCTCAATTAAAAATATACTTGATTTTTTAAAAAACATGGAAATGAAGATCTGGCATTCTGTTGAAACATTGCAAACTTGTTATTGTCTTTTTTCACTTGGAAATGTAAGAGTGGTTCTGATTTAAAAACAAACCAACCAATAATACGCTTTCTGATACTTTAACTATATAGCAAATTCAGTTTCTATAAAGAATTTCTATAGAAAAATAGAATTTTTTATTCAGCTGTACTAAACGAGCTTCTTAAATCTGGATTTTACTCACAATTAATGGAGCCTCAAAAGAAGAGAGCAGTCTGGCCATTTGGGTTTCAGGGGTCTAGCTCATCCTAAATCAAGATCCATGTAGGATTTACTGAATTTCTGAAGACTCATTCATTTCAGGTCCTGCTCCTGACAACTTTTCCTTTATCAAATATAACAGAAAATGATGGGGATGGTGGAAAACGATTTATAGCACCATCTAAGGTGCAACAGGATGTGCTGTGGTAGTTACTGCAAGGTCTCCTTGCTGTCAACAGGGAAAATTGAAAATAAAAAGTGGCATTTCTGGTAGAAGTCATGCTGTGCTCTGAGGTTAAGCCAACTATGGCCTATTGCTGCTTTTTGGTCCCTTTTGTTTTTTGAAAATTTATATAATCTTGTGGCAAACAGTATAGAACAGTATAGTAACCATTTTGAAATGTATATAAGACACATTATGTGAGGATCATTTTTATAATCTAATTTTGTATAATGAACTTTTGATTATAAATTTAACACCAACTTGAATACTATAGCATAAACTCCTATGGTTTCATTTGCATTTCTTAATGGAATTTCACATTTTCATTTGAAGACTCAGTACACAACATATTTGCATCAATCTCCTACAATACAAATTTATGACGTCTATTAATTCATTACCAATAAAGTTCCCAATTTTAGCTGTTACTTATTTATAATTCCTGGGAAAGAGCCAGCACTTTTTTTTTCTTTTTGAATGCACCAAGGTGACTTCAAATGCTCCTTCTTTATAGGTAAGTTTCATTTATTACATGTTTCTATCCCTCCCCAAGCCAACTTTTAATTACTGTAGCTGTTCTTTGTCATAATTGTTTGTTTGGTAGATACACAATCTATGTCTGGTAAAAATAAGGCAGAAAGTGTTCTTTTCTCTTCGGGCTGTCATGTTCATTGAGGAACTTACGAATTTCCAAAGTTCAAAATATCACTGGAGTGGAGAAAAGGTTCAAAGTTTCAGAGTAGTTGCTCCTGTTCTCATTCCTTTTAGTAAACAATGATGACGTCTTTTTCTAAAGAATGTCTTTGATAACCCTCATATCACTGCTGAGAAAGTGGGGATGCTGAGACAACAACATGCTCAGAATCACCCACATTTTGAACAAGCCATCCTCACGTCAGTTGGCGAATGTAACTAGTTAATGGATACTAAGAACCAAAATATTTGATCAGTGGCAGTGAGAGTTGGTTTGAGTTCTTAACAGTATAAAATTCAAGAATTTGGAATAGCTGATTGTCCAGAACATATTAAACAGGGCCCACACATGTTAAGGTGTATGAAGGTATGTGTCTATTAGGGCTTTGCAAAAATTTATTTGTGCCTCATTTGTTGTATGTATTTTGTAAGATTCATACATATGAGGTAATGTAAAAAAAATGTGAGGGTCGCCCATGCAAAAACAAACAAACATAAGAATCAAAACACTCACCTATGACTTTTCCTTAAAGTTCAGTAAACCTTGTAGGTCTCCCAAAGTCGGTTTCATTTTCAGTACAAGCAGCAAAACTGTACCAATTCTGTGAAGTCAAAGTTGCCTGCATTGGGGGGGGGGGGCATTTCCAAGAAGTCTGCTTGCATCAGAAAACCCCAATGAGGTGGGGAAAGCCAGCCACGCAGTTTTGAGTTTAGAGTTCTAATAAATTATTGAAGCTTCGAAGAGGACTGATAGTAAATCTGTGCTGGACTGGGAGGAAAATCCTTAAGTTGAAGTTCTATGATATCATATAGAGACATGCAAGGGGAAAACTATTTTGGCTTTTTAAAAAGGTTTTGTCAAAACTTTAAAATTCCCCAAATATCAGTAGATGTGTGAAGTTTTCATCCCCACTGGCACAATTACTTAATGAAAAAGTAGCAAAACAATGTTATATCTTTACAGTTACAGTACGGACCTTTTATGATGTTTTAGGAATACTTTAGAAACAATTTTCCACCACCCCCCACCCCCCTCATTTCGTAATGAGTATTGAAACAGTAGGTTCTTGTGGGTTTTTTCGGGCTATAGAGCCATGTTCTAGAGGCATTTCTCCTGACGTTTTGCCTGCATCTATGGCAAGCATCCTATGGCAGACCTTCTCAACCTCTGAGGATGCTTGCCATAGATGCAGGCGAAACGTCAGGAGAAATGCCTCTAGAACATGGCTCTATAGCCCGAAAAAACCCACAAGAACCTAGTGATTCCAGCCATGAAAGCCTTCGACAATACAGTATTGAAACATTTTTGTTCATTGATCGTGCAGGCCTGGTATGGATTTGTGTCTTCAAGTTTGCCTATCAGTTTTGGCAACTCCATGAATGTAAGGATGTACCTATTTATCACATTGTAGTGGTAATGTACAGGCATACCTCAGAACAAACCCTCTAAAAAAGTCCCTTTTTGCAAAATGGTTACCTATAACTGTTATAACCTTATTTTCTCCTATTCTTTCATCCTGTTGTGTTTCTTGGAAATCGGAACAGCAGTCCCCTGTCTCACCCTTTGGATCTGCAAAAGTAAGCCCTGGATATCTTTTGAATGAAACCTTTAAGTGATCTCTAGAAGGTCCACAATGTGTTGTGTTTGTGCTTGGTTCAACTGACCTGGTTATTGACTTCACATGTGTGTATTGTTAGTGTTATAAAAGTGTTTGCAGAAATATGTTATTTTGTGTGTATGTTTGTGGTGCAGGAACTTATCCCCATTCTTTTCATGCTATTTCTGCTTCTGATACCAAATTCTCTGTCAAAGAAGTAGTGCCTAGGAACAAATCTACTTCATTATCTGAAGTATACTTGTATTGATTTTTTCCTTGTCCTTCCTTAATTTGCCTGGTCTCTTTCATCCTATTGAATCTGCAGCATAGCCATGGTAGTAAATTCTTTTAATTAATTTTGCTTCCTTTTCTTGTAGAACCTTTAAAACAACACTTGAAACATAGGAACATATTCTGCCAATACTGTGTTTGTTTGTTTTTCTAAAAAAAAAAAAAAAAGCAAGCTGTGTATATTGCATGTTAGCTTTCTCTCATACTGCAGAATTCTAGGGCAGTTCTCTGCACTAATTGCAGGAGTTTTACTAATCCATTCCATGTGATCTACATTTGATTCTTCAATTTACTGTCTTTATATATACAGTTCACTTGTTGCTTCAGAAACTATAGTATACTGTAATATAAAGATGTGAAGCAATATGTATTAGGAATTTTTGCTTCATTCGCTAACCTCAGCTAGATTTC